TCCTCATTTAACCCGGCCTCATTGTCGAGCGTGTGAGTCAACATCATCAGAATCATCAGTATCATCATCAACAGCATCATCATCATCGTCCTAATAATCATCAACATAATCAGCAGCAGCACCTTCATCATCGTTATCACCACCATCATTCACCATCAACATTAATTTTCATCAGCATCACCAAAATCATCACTATCAATATCACTCATCAGCATTACCACCACCACCGTCATCATCATCGAACCATCATCAACATCATCAACATCAAACTCGCCAGCATTGGCATCATCATCGTCATCATCATCGTCATCATCATCATCACCATCTTCAGCATCATCCTCAACAACAGCATCACAATCATCATCAGCATCATCACGAGCATGATCAGCATCAGCATCAGCATCAGCATCATCATCAAGAGGAAGAGGAGGACGCGGGCTTCTCGTGCTCTTCGCGGTCGAAGGAATAACAACACCCCCATCCTTAGGACATGGGGAACACATCATCTGTCCCTTGCCCCGTTCGCCCTCCATCTCGTCCTCCCTCGACCGCATGTCGCATGCATACTTCCCGAAGTCCTCCTTCTCCAATGATCCTCCTGGTTTGTTCCAACCGTTCCTCCTCTCCTCCATCACCTTCTTCCTATCGCTTCCTCCCCTATCCTCATTTTCCCTCTGTGTCCGCAATGATCCTAAATATGTCTGCTCCTCTTGCAAAACTTTCTCCATCATGCCTCTCCTCCTCGACCGTGTTCCTGCTACCTACTCCTGCTTCTGCAACTGGCGCTGATGTGGGGAGGAGGGGGACGAGGACGGGCGTGGCAAGGGGGGGATGGGGAAAGGATGGAGGGGAGGGGGAAGGAGGGGCGGGAGGAGGGGGTGGGCGAGAGGACGAGAGCACCCTCATCTGGACATGGGATAACGATAAACCCAAGCCCACTTACGAACGGATCGACTCCCACGTGGGAGCGAACGTGTCCGAAACATGATCGACCCACGAACCCGGAACGAAATATAGAAATGTAAGGCATGGCAACGTTTCAAAGACACTTGATTGGGCGACAGGCAAATGCAGTGCGGAATGCATCGATCTTGATGTAATGTGCCGAAGGCTGTGCTGTGCTACGCCGTGCTGAACTGCGATGTTCCATTCCGCGAGTGTGCTCTACATAGCGTTGTGGATCGAGTCCTCCATGTCATCCGAGTCCTGACCGAACTGATTTGGATCTTAAGCTCGAGCTGCCTGAGCAGATGGTAGCTGCCCCAGAACCAATCGACAGAGGGGACATGCCAGGAGGACGCGCCGCGGAACGTCCCAAGGAACGCGCCAGGCGACGTGCCAGGGGAGGTGCCATGGGCACGCACCGCGGGACGCGCCAAGGGGACGCGCTATGGAACGTGCCAATGGACGTGCCGCGGGACGTGCCAGGGGACGCGCCGCGCGACGTGCCAGGTGGACTCGCCAAGGAACGCGCCAAGGAACGTGCCAAGATGCAATGTTGAATGTATCGATCTTGATGTACCCTCCCGGGCTGCCTGTGCCTGGCGCTGCCGTGCTGACTGCGATGTGCCATGCCCGCGATTGTGCTCTATATACGTTGTGGACGCGTCCTCCATGGCATCCGAGTCTGACCGAACTATCTGGATCTTAATCTCCGGCTGCCTGGGCAGTTAGCTGCCCAGAACTAATCCGACAGGGGGAGCAGCAGGAGGACGCGCCGCGGAACGTCCCAAGGGACGCGCCAGGCGACGTACCAGGGGACGTGCCATGGGCACGCACTGCGGGACGTGCCAAGGGGACGCGCTACGGAACGTGCCAATGGACGTGCACCGCGCGACGTGCCAGGGGGACTCGCCACGGGACGCTCCGCGGAACGTGCCAGGCAACATGCCAGGCTGCAATGCTAAAGGTATCGATATTGATGTACCGTGCCGAGGGCTGTGCTGTGCCTGAGCGACCTGGACACGTGAAAACACGCGTTTCGCTCAAGACGTTCTCGGCACATCCTCATGCTAGACATCCGCCTGGGCAACCTGGACACGTGCAAACAAGCGTCTCGATCGAGACTTCCTCGACACATCCTCATGCTAGACATCCGCCTGGGCGACCTGGACGCGTGGAAACAAGCCAGTGGTTCGAGACATCCTCAACACATCCTCATGCTAGACGTCTGTCTGGGCAACCTGGAGGCGTGAAATCAAGCGTCTCGCTCGAGACATCCTCAAGAGTTGGGCACGTGAAAACAAGCATTTCACTTGAGAGATCCTCTGAATCCCACCAGCCCTTTGGGCGTGAGTGGTTTAGAGAGCCCGCTCTGTTCTCAACCCTCCTTCCCCTTCGGGGAGGGGTTTACCCCTCCCCCTACCCCCTCCCCCTGGGCCTGGAGAGGTCCCACCGCGGGTGGTCAGGGAAGTCCTTTTCGACTCCTGGGAGGGCTAAAAAAACGACACCCCTCACGAGGATTCTGGCCCCGACGGGGGGAGGAAGAAAAAACCCTCTCCTCTCCTTTGAAGCCAAAATCATTGATTTTACTGCGGTGTTGGCCCCATTTTGGCCTTCTGAGGGGGCAGCGCTCATTAAAGTTCCCCTCTTCCTTCAAGGCAAACTCATTGATTTTACGAAGGTTTTGGCCTCGTCTTGCCCTTCTGAGGGGGCAGCGCTCATTCAAGCTCCCCTCTTCATTGATCGACTTCCTCCAAGATGGCCCCAAGAAGCGCCCAGGAGGCACACTGAGGCCCCACGATGGTCCCAAGAGGCCCCCAGGAGGCCCCAAGAGGCCTCGAAGAGGCCCCCACGATGCCCCCCAGAGGCCCCCAAGAGGCCCCAAGATGCTCCCCCGAGGCACCCAAGACGCTCCTGGAAGCCCCTGGGGCCGCCAATAAGCCCCCAAGACGCCCCAAACAGCCTCCAAGAGGCTCCCAAGAGGCCCGAAGAGGCTCCCCCAAGGCACCCAAGACGCTCCTAGAAGCCCCTGGGGCCGCCAAGAGGCCCCCAAGACGCCCCAAAAGGGGACGAGGTGCCCGAACGCCTCACGCCACGAGGAGCCCGAACGACTCACACCAGGACGAGGGGCCCGAACGACTCACGCCACGAAGAGCCCGAACGACTCACACCAGAAGGAGGGGCCCGAACGACTCACACCAGGACGAGGCGCCCGAACGACTCACACCACGAGGAGCCCGAACGACTCACACCACGACGAGGGCCCCGAACGACTCACACCACGAGGAGCCCGAACGAGTCACACCAGGAGGAGGGGCCCGAACGACTCACACCAGGACGAGGGGCCCGAACAACTCACACCACGAGAAGCCCGAACGACTCACACCAGGACGAAGAGCCCGAACGACTCACACCACGAAGAGCCCGAACGACTCACACCAGGAAGAAGGGCCCGAACGACTCACACCAGGACGAGAAACCCCAAACGACTCAAACCACGAGGAGCGCTTTCTCTCCCTCCTCCTCCGCCTCGTCCTTCTCCCGCTCCCACCACAAGGAGGATGTACAAGGAGGCGGGAGGAAGGAGGAACAGGGGAGATATGCGGGGGCAGGCGGAAACACGCCTGAAAACCACGACTGTCGGCATGCTTCGCAAGAGTTGCTGTTTTGAGATGGGCTGGTGGGGATACGCGAAGCGTGAAGAATTCAGGTCCCCAGGAAATGACCATCTATAACACAAAACAAGCGTTTCGCTCGAGACATCCTCAACAAATTCTGACAATCAAGCGTTTCGCTCGAGACATCCTCAAACATAATTCCGCCAACCTCCTTCAAACTCCTCATTTATCGCAAAATAATTCCGCTGGCCTCCTTCAAATCGATCCCGGGGGTAAACAGCAAAAAGAGAACCCTGGGCCCCCGCCCTTTCCGGGAAAAAGGTGACAAAGCGAGGGCCCCTCCTCCCTCCACATGCTGCTCGTCCTAATCCTACCTCCTCCTGCACCTCGAACACCCCACGCTCCTCCACCACCTGAGCGACAAACGCTTTCCGACCTGCCCCCCAAGTGGGGACAGATGCCCCCTCCGCCGAGCTTCGCGTCATCCACCCCCACCTCGAGGACTGGCAGACTGGAGGCGCCAAGGAGCCCTGACCCACCAGGGATGGGGCTGCTCACTGATGCTAACCGCCGACGAGGATGACGACGACGACGACGACGCCAAAGAGGACGAGGACGAGGACGACGACGCCGACGAGGACGACGCCGACGACGACGACTACGATGGTGCTGAGTGCAAGTGTCAGGCCAGATCAGGTGGCCGTACATCAACGGCGCGTCGGCAACCGCTCCCTAACGAAGGAACGCACAACAGTCACGGAAGTGAGAGACACAGAGACAGAGAGACAGAGAGAGAGAGAGAAAGAAAAAAAAGACACGCGACGAGAGCCGAGGCAGAGCGAGAGAGGGACGAACGACAAGGGCCCCTGTTTAGAAGAATAACAAACGCCATAAACATAAACTGTTGGCGCTCCGCGCGGATTTGGGGGATCCGCGCTGGACCCCCTTCCCTGGCGCGCGGGGCGAGCCAGTCGGGAGCGGCCAAAAGGGGGGTGTCCAAGAGGTGGGGGTGCAAATGATGACCGGCAGCATGTGCGCGGCCCAGCGGGGGGGCCAGGGACGTAATGAAATAAGAAGAGGCGCCATGAGATCTGGGGAAATATCATGGCCCCGCCATGATATCCACCCCCCCGTAGTCATCACCCCCCTCTTTTCCGCCCCCGAGCCAGCAGGGGCGGCGCCGGAGGCGCCGCCGGGGGGCCCCAACGCGGATCCCAGAAATCCGCGCGGAGCGCCAAAAGTTTATGTTTATGGCGTTTTTTCTTCTTCGACTGTGGTGGCTGTGCAGGCTCCTCCTCCTCCTCCTCCTCCCCCTCCTCCTCCTCGGCCTCTTCCTCCTCCTCCTCCTCCGCCTCTTCCTCCTCCTCCTCCTCCTCCTCCTCCTCCTCCTCCTCCTACTCCTCCTCCAGGCACTCGCGGGGAGCGGAGCACGGCCACCGCCTACAACGCAGTGCTCGGGCGCCGTCTCGTTCGGGCCTGGGTGGCAGGGCCAGATCTCCTGTCGGAAGGGGGCCGAGGACACGACGAAGACGACGTCACGACACGAGTGGCTCAGGGCACGTTGCAGGAGCTCTAGGATGATGTTTGTCCCATCGCACTTAAAAACCACATCCCAGAAATAATTTCGAGCACCTGGGAAAGTGTCGAAACAGTGTCGAGAGAATGTCGAACGAGTGTCTCACAGGGCCCGACACGAGAAAACCCTCGAGTTTCGGTACTTTCCAGGTGCTCGCAATTCTTTCTGGCGATTCAGGCTAAAAAGTGAGTTGGAACATCACAACTCCAGGAGCGTGCAGCAGCCCTCCTTGCTGCAGACCGTGTGGGACACCGGGGAACCTTGGCGAACCTGGAAGTCTGGGAACGTATTGTCAGGACCTCCAGCGCCTCCACGAGGGGAGCAGGCCGTGGGGGAGAAGGGCGCGGAGGCTCGTCGTCGCGTGTCTGGCCCCCTGTGGCCCCTGCCAAAAGGACCTCGCCCTCTCCGACGGTGTCGGGCTTGCGTGACCTGCACCCGGGCACCGCGCCAGCAGGCAGCGAGCGGCGCTGCGCACTGCACTGCTCGAGTCTCCAGCTCGGCGCGCCAGGCCCGGCGTGCTGCACGTGATCGGTCGCGGGCGGGCGGTGCCGGGACTCCGCGCCCGTGCGAGCACGCCATATGCATCGGCTGTCCACGCGCAGGGCGTGGACAGCCGATGGAATGAGCGCCGGTCCGCCCGAGCCCGTGGCTCTGACCAGGGGGGACGAGATGCCGAGCACTCTGTACAGTCGACCCGTATCGAAAGGATGCACGATGAGGATGCAAGGGCCCTGGAAGGCCATGTCGACACTTTGCCAGCGGGGCGCGGCCAGCGCAAGCGGCCAAGGATGGACCGAGGAGGCAAGGATGCAAGGGGGTAGCCTTGGAAAGGTTGCCCGTCCTTACAGTGCGGGTTGACTGTCCAGCATTGCAGGCGGCATGCTGAAACGTCAAAGACCAAAGCGCCCCGTCCGACATCACCAATCAAGCTAAGGCCGTACGCGCTACGTAGCCAATGGAATACATGTTGCCGCGGTGGGGAACAGCAAATCATTATGAACTACCACCGTTTTCAAAATGAACAACCAACAATCGAAGGACGAACAACCCTCCCAACAGCATACGCGTCCAAAATTGGCAGACGACCGCGTTGGAGGGGAGTGCGGGTGGTCGTGCAAAAAAACGCCAACTCTTGCGAGGCCCCATCGCTTTCCAATCAATCTTGAACCGCGGGCGGGGGCCACAGGGGCGTGTTTCGATACCTTGTTACCTGAACCTGACGCGATTCTTTATCTCGCAACCAACAGCAATAATTTCATGCAACATGCTGCCGGCCACGAGACTACATCTGTCACGGACTCCAGCTGGCGCAATAGCTGGCCCGAAGACGACATTGCATGAAGCAGCCCAGGCTGACCACAATAAAACAACTTACCCCAAATGGACAAAGCTCAGCCTCTCAATGGAAAGAGCTGCCTGATCAACCGAAGAGACGCCATCCCGAACTCATCCTGCTCAGCCATCCTTCCTCCGCCAACTACGCCCTCCTCCCTGTCAACGTCGTCCCCCTCAACTCAACTCAACTCAACTCCAATCAGTTCTGCTCAACTCAAAATCGATGCACCCGACGACGACCTCGACGACGACGACGACCGGCGACGCCGCAGCGGCGTCGCGCCAGCCGACGGCTCCTTCAGCGCGCCCACGCACCAGGCCCCGTTGCCGCGGCCGTGCTTCTTGACACGCCTGGGAGGGCGCGGGGCACGCGGCGCAGGCTGGCCCCTACTGCTCGCTCGACGGGGCCCAGGACTCCATCGGAAAGAAACTTCTGTTTCTGGCAAGATAGCTGTCGGGGGCGGCCAGGAGGGGGGCGTCCAAGAGGGGGGGGTGCAAATCATGGCCAGCGGCACGAGCGCGGCCCAGGGGGGGGGGGCCAGGCACGTAATGAAAGAAGAGAAGGCGCCATGAAATCTGAGGAAATATCATGGCCCACGCCATGATATCCACCCCCCCTAGTCATCAGCCCCCTCTTTGCCGCCCCCGAAGCTGCTTACACAGTTTAGCACAGGCGGGGGAGTCGGGCTTGCAGCAACGATTCCCCACCTCCACAGCCATTTGCCTCAGGGGCCCCACAGAGGGGCGTGCTAGCAGCACACTGCGCACTGTACGCCAGCGTTGAGTCTAGGAAAAGCGTCATTCTGTTTTGTCAAACTTTCGGCCTCGGACGGCCCTCGCCAGGCACCGTCAAAAACGGGTCGGAATGACACAGCGGCCCTGGGGAAGATTGTGTTCTGTCAAACTTTCGGCCTCGGAGGGCTCGCCAAGCACCGTCAGACAGGCTCAGAATGACAACGCGGCCCTGGGGAAGGGGTTGGAACTGCAGGGGACCGCGCAGGGCGTAGGGTTAGGTCGGACGTGTCCTCCTACAGGTGGATTTTGGACGAAAAATAAAAAATTATCAAAACATATTCCCCAATAGTCGAAAATGGTCAAACATGTCGTCCCCCGACTATTTTTGACTATCCTTGGATATTCCCCCTGTAGAGGGACGGGCCCGACTTAAGCGCGGGGCAGAAAGCAAGCGATCGGCTGCCTGGGGGGTCCCTCGCTCGGCGGCGCGCCTGGCGGCCAGGCACGGGAGGCGGGCCTCCTCAGGAGGCGTGGAGCTCAGAAGGCCTCCGGCCTTCGGAGACGTCCTGGGCCTGCCCCGAGGCCGCACGGGGGGGGCTTCTCGGCAGGCCAACGGGCTCCCGAGAGGCCCCGCCGGCCTTCTGTGAGAAAGCCTGCCCCCTCTCGCCTCCCCCCCGGGCGCGCCGCTGACCTGCGGAGCGCGCGCGCCCCGATGTCAGCATCGAATCGGGGAGCCGGATCGGCTGGGAACGTGCGCCGGACCGGGCCACATCGGCACGGATGCGAACACGGATCGAGGCGGCGCCTGAATGCACAGCAGCGCGATGCAGGCATCGGGCCGCATCGGATCTTCGATGTATCGGCATCAAGTCGGATCGGGCCGCCCAGCTGCCTCATGTGGTGTGCAAACTGAAGACGAAGAGATGGGGAGGTATCAGCACGAAGAAGTCGGTTTGGGAGTCATCTGACGAAGAAACAAGCAGATAAGCAGAACATTCCAGAGGTCCGCGCGGACCTGCGGAACGTTAACTGTTTCTGCCATCCTCCTCCAACGAATCCGATGACATCCGCGGAAGCGGTCTGGAGGCAAGGGCCCTCCACCCACAGGGGGCGAATGCCGCCGCGGATTACACGCCGGTCGGAAGAGGGGGGTAGAAACATGAGGTAGGAAGGCGATGGAAGTAGATTGGGCTTCTGCCCGCCCCCTGAAGATGAGGGAAGAAGGAATCCAGTCGATCCTTGAAGTAGAAAGGCGCCAGAAATAGATTGGGATCTGGGAACCCAGAAATACATACTTTCAACGACCGGCGTGTAAGAGGTCAGGAGACGGCGGAGACTACCCCGACGGCAACGGCGGCGGCGGCGGAGACAGCGGTGGCGGCGACGACGGCGGCGGCGGCCAGTGGCGGGAGCGGCGGCAGATTGACGGCGGCTGGCGCCTGGCCCGGTGCATGACGCCGTTGCAGTCCGCGGAGCAGGCCGACCTCTCACGGCGCGGGGGGGCCAAGTCCCGAGCACGAAACTCACGCGGGCATTCTGTTTGTAGTACCAGGGAGCAGAGCACATCAGCTGGGTCGTGCATACGTGTAACGGCGCACCGGGGCCTGGGCCCCCCGGGGACCGCGGCCTCTACCACAAAGGGGGGTGCACAGTGCCATAATCCCTGTGTTTTTTTATAAGGATTCGGCGACCCGGGGAGTTCAGAGGCCCCCAGAGGCTGCAGGGAGGCCGCAGCGACGGCTCCAGACGCCTTGAAGCCGCTCCTGCAGAGTTCCAAGACCCTGCACCAGACGGCTCCAACAGGCAAAACATACTGTTTTCCCATTGTTTGTTTCCCATGTGTTTGGGTTGTTCGCCTTCTCGAGCTTGCGACGCTTCGAGCGTGCCCGGGAATGCTTCAAGACCGCGCCGAAACCGACCGAGAGACTCCCACATGATTGCTCCAGGTCAGCCCAACAGGACTCCAACACGGCTCCAGGAGGAGCCTCAGAGGAAGGAATCAACCCCTGGGTGTTTGCAGTACACTTTATATATATATATACCTCTCTCTCTACTCTGTTTGCTTTGTCTTCTGAGGGCCTCCTGGTCAACCACGAATCTGGCTATGCAGATTGTTCCTCCTCCTCCTCCTCCGGAGCAGGCCGGTGTGTAATTGATATTGCAGGCGGGTTCTCTGCCCAGCCTGGGGCGCCCGCCCACCCACTGGATTGCCTCGGCCCCTCCCTTTCTGCGGGGACGGACATTTTCTCGTGGTTTCGACGCGCCGCGAATATGACAGACACTCGCGCATTAGTTAATTTTCCTTCCTCCCGCGTGAGGCTGCTCGTGTAACTGCTTGTACTGATCTAGGGTGCTTGGCCCGCCAGTAGAGCCCTGGGTTGTGACCCGGCGCCCCTTCCGTGCTCCGTCCCCGCCCCCTGTGCTTTCCTCCTCACTTCGCGTTCTGCCCCTCCTCTATGGCTGTGTTGGGTTCGTTGCCTCGGAGGCTTCGGCCCTGCGGTAGGGGTTATAGCACAGTGTGCAACCACCGCCCGATGCGTTTTGTGGGCAAATTCGTATCCGTCGCCGCTTGGTTGTCTCTTGCTTTCCTTCCGTCTCATCCTTCCCCCCCCGAGTCGGCCGTTTCAGAACAACACCTTGCATGACCATTTGTGCATGTCCGTGGTCAGGAGCTTTCCAACAAGCTTCCACGATCGAACCTTGAACTGCGCAATCCAATCAAGTACGCAAAAACTTCCCAATCGTTGCAAAATGTCTCGTGTTGTACGTTGAGCCAACACTTCTCACGTCTCGACGTTTGCCCCTCCACAATCAGAGCCTGGACTGCATGACGCCGCATGGTCTTGATATGTTGGGTCTCCTTCTACCAAAACCCTATAGGAGTCGCAATGTCTTGCTTTGTGTTTTGAATGGATGTCGCCCCGCCCCGGCCGTCGATGTCCAGCAAGCTGCGCCGTGCAGAGCGCAAGGCTTGAAAGCGGAATCAAATAACCGGAGCCTCGAGCCCAACGCGTAACTTGGATTTGTGAGCTCGCCCATCAATTCGAAGAGCATCCACCGCGCAGACTGTAGCAAGTTGCCCAAGCCGTGTGCGTCCTGAAAAAATTATCCCAGAGCGACCCTACCTAGGAATTGGAGCCCCGAGGAGAACAATATTAGTAGTAACGGTCAACGCCGTCCTCCTCCTTCTCCTCATTGTCGCAGTTGTAGCAGCAGCGGTGGTAGTAGTAGTAGTAGTAGTAGTAGTAGTAGTAGTAGTAGTAGTAGTAGCAGTAGCAGTAGCAGTAGCAGTAGCAGTAGTAGTAGTAGTAGTAGTAGTAGTAGTAGTAGTAGTAGTAGTAGTAGTAGTAATAATAGTACAGCTTAATACCTACATCTACATCTAGACCTACATCCACATCTACACCCACAGCTACATCTACAGGTACACATGCCTCTACATCTACATCTACATCTACATCTACATCTACATCTACATATACATTTACATCTACATCTACATTTACAACTACACTCACATATACATCAACATCTACAAGGTAAGCTAAGCTAAACTAAGCTACATCTATATCTACATCTACATCTACATTTACATCTACAGCTACAGCTACATCTGAGCTAAGCTGAGATAAGCTAGCCTAAGCTAAGCTAAGCTAGGCTAAACTAAGATGGGATAAACAACGCTAAGCTAAGGGGACGTAACTGGGGGAACCGCGGGGCGGATAATGGGGAAACCGCCCGGGGCGGTTTGCACTGCCCGGCCCCTTTAAGAAAGAGGGTAAGAACCCTCTAGGCAGAGCCTAGGTAGGGAATCTGCCCTAATACTTGGTTGCCTCGACCCTGCAGGCCGGTAAACGAAATGCAGCTGTAAGCTGCCTCTCTTGTCCTCGCCCGCCAATTCGTCGCCGCCTGTGTCTCGCCCAAATGCGGCGATGGCCCGCGGCATTCGCGACGAAGACACGTCTGCGAGTTTTCGCATGAGGTTTGGCAGCGCGCTGCGCACGACGGCCGCCTGCGAAACGCGCGTCGGTTAACCTCCCATCATCGAGAAAAAGAAGCACAAGTCGATTTCCGCTCGGGAATTTATCAGCGGCCTGACTGCGACGAAAATCACCGGACTCGAAGGGCCCCTCTGCCCGGAACCCCTCCCACACGCAAAACACGCGCATTGTTTGGTCGACCTGCGCCACGCCACTCTGCGAGGAATGCGGTTTCTGAAGAACTTCAACGCGCGCCTGCTGCGAACGCTGGCGCGTTGGCGCCGCGTAGATGCAGTCATGCGAGATACTGCCAAAAACTTTCTTGAAGCTCGCCGCGGCGATCCCGGGCACTGCCCCGCAACCGTCGCGCGACTTACAAAACGGCGCGCGCGCGCGACAGGTCGGTCTGCACCGCTGCACTGTGAGCGATCCCCCGCCTGGTCAATCCAGCGCGCTGCGACAAAAATCGGCGACGAGCGCTCCCGGAGCAGCTGGCTGGAAAAGTTGCGCGACAACGATATGATGGCAGTCGGGCGATAATTTAAAGGCGAGAGTGGATCGCCGCTCTTGAAATTAACTGCGACCAGACATTTGCTCCTCACCTTTTGAGCGCCCAGCTCAACGGTGCGATTGCGCTGGGATCATCGCGGCAAGGGCCTCGCCGCCATCTTTCAGCTGATCGCTGTTTATGCCCGCGGTCCATCACCCTCTTTCTCTTCAATGAAATAATATCCGCCTGTACCTCCGAACAAACAAAAGCTGGCATCCGCTGGCCTGCCGCTGCCTCCAATGGCGCCAGCTGCCCCGCCCGTTGCCCGGTTGAGTTCTCGTGGAAATGGCAAAGGCATCGGCAAATGCTTGTGTTTCCTGGTGCGCGCTCCTGGCGCTGCTCGCCGCTCCCGCGGTCGGATTATTCTCGCTCGTCGGCCTCGTCTGCGGGGTGAGGTGTTCCCTTGGGTTCTACCGGCATGTTTCGGATGTGTCGCCCTTGTTGCTGCCTTCGTGGTCAGGGGCATTCCTTTTGGATCATCTGCCTCACCGCTGCCCGTTCTAGCGCGCGCTGCGGCGTCAACAGTTCGATCGGAAACAAATGCCCGGCAGCCATATGGATCTGCTCGAGCGAGCGCGGCCTCCGCCTCTCCGGACCTGTCGCGCGCGCTGCCGCGCTGCAGCGCTGGATCAAATATTCGCGTAGTGAGATGGCCCTTGAAAGCATTCCGACGGTGCTCAGCATGTTCCTGCACCAGTTCGCTGGCTTCGCCCCCCGCGTCGACGACGGGAAGCGCCCGACAAGTAGACCGAACGCCGCGGCCGTCAGACCCAGGATGCAAAGACACTGTCGACTGCGCGTCGGTGACAAAGGGGAGCTGGCACCGACCAACGAGCGCGCAGCCCGCATTGTGGGCGGGCGCGGAGATGCGGCACTTCAGCTAGCAAGCAACCTGATTGCGCAAAACGCCTGCACACAACAGAGTGTCATAGAGAAACAACCACACACCCTATGTTCGCATAGTGCGGAGTGGATCTCCCACGTTGCACAGCGCAAAGGTTACCTCCAACGGTCGCCATCGTCGCTGCGCTACATGGCACGAGCAACTGAAAGCGCGGATGAAGCATGCGATCATACGCTTGCCATCTCTGGCCGCACCCGCAAGTGGCACGTTGCGCGCAGTGCCCGTGGGACGCGGGCACCCGCGCATTGGCTGGCCCTGTAGAAACTGCAAGGCAGCCTGGAGGGCGGCTTGAAAAACGAGCGTGCGAATGCCGAAAGAACGTAAAACAATCCCGCGCGTCAACCTGCTACGGGGTCGCAGCTTCGGGTGCGCATAAGTTCCGCGCTGCTTTGCAGCTTAGCCGCTATTGCGGGCGACAACGAAGCACCAGGGCTCGCGCGTCAGGGCGGCGCAGGAAACGTCGCAGCCCCGAGCGCGCGATGCGCGAGACACCCCAGTGCCGCGCGTGGAGCGCAGTCGCAGAACAGGACGTCCTGGCGCAACCCTGGGCGTTCCGCGCTCAAGTGACGCCCGCTTGCGTGCGCAAGTGCGGTTCAACTGTATCCCTGGCGTAGTTCAAGTGCAGTTCAGGTGCAGCCCATGTGGTTCAAGTCTAATCCTGAAGCAATTCTAACGTAGCCGAAGTGTAGTTGAAGTTTAGTTCAGGTGCGTGTCCAATGAAGTCCAGGCGTAGTTCAAGTGTGCACCAGGTGTCGTCCTTGTAGTTCACATGTAGCTCAAGTGTAGATCAGATATTGTTCAAGTACGATCTAAGTTTCTACTCAGGGGGTCCACGGGAAGTTCAAGCGAGGTTCAAGTGTAGTTCTGGTGCAACTCAATTGTCGCGGATGGTAATCTTTGTAGTTCAAATGCAATGTAAGTGCAATTCAAGTTCAGTTCAAGTCTAGCCCACGTGTGTTTCAAGTGTAGCCCAAGTAGGATCCGATAATAATTCGAGCGTGGTTTGAGTGTGGTTCAGACGTAGTCATTATGGTTCACGTGTGGCTCACG